ATACATTACAAATACATTATTCCTGTCTAGGCTTGTCTTTTAATGCCACTGATAGAACTTTTGGTGTGTTGGTAGTGTAAATATTTTCTTTTAATTTTGCTACAGGTCAATTCATTACTGTTTTATTTAATGGGTCTTTCACTGGGTGATATTACAAAATACTCCCTAGAAAAATGGTCAGCTTCCATTGTTCATGTTCATTACTTACAGCAGCCACAGGGACTAGGACAAATTCTGGTACCAGGAGTGGAGAGAAGCTGGAAAATGTACCCACAAACATGAAAGTGACTTTGGAATGGGTTAAGGGGAGGATGCTGGACTTAGTCTGAGGCACATCCAGAAATATGCTTATTTTCATGAACAGAGTATCACTAAACCTATGGGTTTAAAGACTTTTTAATTGAGGATCCAGAAATAAGTACATGGCATGATAGAGACAGATGAAAAGGTTTTAGAGAATACCTAAATAATTATAAACAGGAGTTTGTCAGAAATAGAACTACCTAAGATTCTGCAGGTAGAAATCAAGAGAAATAAGGAACATATGCATGGAAAGAAAATTTCTCATTACCCACATGCACATTTTCACAGTGTCTCTGTTATATTGGGTGACATGCCACAGGCCCTGGTGGTTAGAAGTTGGACATCTTTGAATCCTTACTCCTCTGGTCACACCATGAATCACCCAAGTTGAATAATCCACTGGGGCTCCTTTTATGAAATTTCTCGGCATTTGCAGGGAAGAGAGGACACCGCTGACTGCTGGAGCCTTGGAAACAATGTGTCAGTATGAGGAGCAATAATTTCATTGCACAAAGAGCCCTGTTTCAGTCCAACATCATCATCATCATCCTCACCATCACCATCCTCATCATCTTTGAAATCATCATCATGATCATCACTCTCATTATTATCATCATTATCATTTCCTTACTTACAATCATCTTTATTATTTTCTGTGTACATGGTGGTTGTCCACACAACATGACCCTTTATGTGAAAAGAAATCAGGTGCCTCCTGTTTATATGACACCGGGAGATTAAAATAACAAAGACTCCACCTGTAAGTTGACCCAAGGCCTTCCAGAGAGCAGATGGCCTTGAAAAGGGAACAGTTTCCATGTACAACATTGGGAAAAGGCCCCTATCCAATTCTGTCCTCATCACCACTACCACTGCCATCACCACCACCATCATCATCACCATTTGATTACTTACAATTGTTCTTCTCACTTTATATGGGGTGGGTGACCACTTATCTTTTTACTTGCTTACTTTTTATAGTTCTTACATGGAATAGGTAGACAGACTCTATTCTATTTTACATTTAATAGCTTACAAATGAAGACTCTTCCATCCTCTTCTCTATCTGCCCCACATGGGAAAGCTGATAAGAAATGCTCGGTCTCTACTTCAAATGTCATTGGAAGATTGAAACCACACAGGCTTCTGTAAGAAGAATGTCCCCTCCACCACCACCTTGACAAAATAAAAGCCCTGAGTGCATCTTCTTTCCTGGCTCTGTCAAAGCCCATCTGACTTGCTGAAGGGATAGGACTTGTCTTTCCTATCCCTCCCAGAGATTTCAGCTATGTGAGGGATAAATGCTCTATGTCCCCTTGATGTGCCTGCTTGTTCTCAGCATGAACATCCATACCATGCTGAGGTGGGTCTTTCTGCCTCTATGTGGTGTCATCTGCTCTTGGTGCTGTGGCCATGATGCCAAGTCAATGACCATCACTACCGTGGGTCTTTCTCCTCTTGCATTGGGTTCCTGTGCCTCCAGTGCCTGCTGTCCAGCATGCATGTGTCCTGTTCCCAGCAGGTTTGGATGCTGAGCTGTGTAGGGCTTGTCTTCACTGTTGGGTCCAGCAGAATGTCTGGTTAGATTCAGCTGATGTGGGTCAGAAGGTGTGATGACTCATTGGAATTGGAAACAAGAGTGTCTGAAAGAGACACAAGAGATTGTTGTCTTTCTTCACAACAGACTTTTCTAAATCAGAGATTTCAAAGGTATGCACAGAATCAGAAATCTTGAGAGGTTCCCTGAAGGAAACTCTTACAAGAAGAGGAATCCACACAGGAAACCAGCCCAATCACCCAACTGCACGTTCTCCTGGAATGGACCTTGTGTTCAGGGACCCAGAGCAATTACTGGTGGTCACAGCCTCTCTTCAGGGAGGTTTGTCACAGGGTTCTTGCTGATTTTCCTTCACTGTGTCTGTCATACAGTCATACATGGTTGCGTTCTCATCTCTTGAGGGTACAGTGTATTCTTGCCATTGTCTCTGGAGACAGTGAATCATCTGTTCATAGAGTTGGCATAGTATATGATGCATCCATCAGAATTCATTTGATAAACACAGTCCAGCCCCTTCTCTGGTTCCTGCATATATATAACCTGTATGTTGATCTTGTCATTATCTTGGGACCTTCATCAAGAGAACATCCTTCTAAGCGAATGTTCACAGTGATCTGATGAGTCAATTAAATCTCTATCATTAGAGTAATGGGTGTCACAAATATTCCCAAATGAAAGCACATGCAGTTGTTTTTCATCCAAGATCATGGGAGAAAAATCAATTGCAAGATGAACCACTGGCCCCTGGGGTGCAGTTTAATCCCTGGTGGTCACAGCCCTTCCGGCAGGGAGGTTTCTTTCTGGGCTCACACTGGTTTCTCCTCTCAGTGTCTCTTGTGAAGTAACGCATGGCTCTGTCCTTGGCTCTCAGGCTGTTTATTTGCAGGTAGAGCTCATTCTTTGCTTTGTCTCTGGACATGGTGAATTGGCCCTTCACAGTGTTGGCCAAGTATGGGTATGAGACCCACTCCAGGCTCTTTTTGGGAGCCTGACATACCAGTTCATAGTATCTAAAGAAGATGAATTCAGAGGCCAAGCAGAAGACTCTCAGAGACTCTACACGTTGCACCCAGCCTAGCCAGATTCCACCAGCTTCACATCACACTGGACATCTGCAAACACAAGGATGTTGGTTAGGAAACTCTTACCTGTCCATTGTTTATCTCAGTCATTTCTAGTCACATACTCAGTGTCTCTAATGCTCCATAAATTACCTCTTTAAAATACAACAAAGTTAACCCGGCTCAGCTCAAACTCCATGGTGAGTGGTCTGTGTTCTCTCCTGAGCAGAGACTGCAATTGCTGGGAATCACAGATTGATTCTGCTTCTGTCCCAGAGCAGCTGGGTTGGGACTGGGTTGGTTTCCATGAGCTGAGGGTCCTATTTGCATATCCTTCAACTATACAGGAAGCTCTGGAGTTGGACACTGACAGAAAGGACATGGCCACAAAGTGTGACTTCTCAAAGGTGAATATCCATTAGAAAATAGTCTCAGACCTGGTCACAGGCCACACACCTTTCTCTGACTGCTTTCTGATCACAGTTGCTCATAGGCTGGTCCAGTATGATGCTCTTCAGCTCATGGGGCCACCTGCAGATTCCCTCTGCACATGTGTGATTTGTTGAAGGTGCTTTGAGGTCACTAATCAGCTCTCTCCCCACCTGACACAAGCCATCCCTGAAGTAGAGTCTGAGTGACCTAGAAACACATGTGTGCACTGAACATGGACTCAGTGAGTGGTTGATGTGAGCTTCAGTCACCTGAGTAAAACTGGCCCTGGATTCTCATGGAGGGACTGACATAGGAGATGGACATGAGGGGATGAGGGGGTTTGTGTTTAAGATAAAATGTACCAGAGCTGGAAAGGAGAGAGAAGAAACCCAGCCACATGGGGCTTCACAGATTTAGTGAGTGTTTGGAGAGTAGAGGACAGGGGTTGATGATGAGGTGGGTGTCTGGGAATCCTGGATGAAGAAGAGAGGGTGGGCACGGATCAGGTCCACATTCATATGGTTCCTGTGATCCACGTGGGTTCTGAATCTGAAGCTGAGACCCTTGTAGGTCTCATGCTCCAGGACCGTGTTCAGAGACCTGCTCAAAATGCTTCCTAGCAGCATTGTGACAGAGTTCCATGTCTGTGCTACCACCTGCCTCTGTGTTGGGGGCACACTGAGAGCTGGGTCTGTTCCCAGGCCCAGTGTTCCTCCACCCAAGGCAGTGATGGCAGTGACAGAAGGTATCAAAGCCTGAGTATCAAAATCCAAGTATGTGGGGCAGAGGCAAGTGGCTCACTGCCCCCAAAGAGGACAGGGATCCTTACAGGACAGAAAGCAGGGGGCTGATCATTCTCACATGGGACAGTCTTCACTGTGTGATGAACAGACTGTGACTCAGCACATAGATTCAAAATCGCTGCCCTGCACTACACTGGAATGTGGGAGATTCATGCTCAGTCAGGGCAGACACAGTGAGAACCCCTAACGTGTTGTTTGTCAGCCAGGAAAAGAAGACTGTATGGTGATAGGGTGACAATAAGGCCCATCTGAGTAGGCAACTACAGTTACTTCTTATCTTCTTGCCTGCAGAGAATGTAAGAGATAAAGACACAAAAAAGAAAGCAGAAATTGCCCCAGAAGGTAATAGGAGGGGAATAATTTATTGACCAAAAAGGGAAGCCAGTCTGCAACCTTTCTAGGAACCAGCATCTGAGCTGGCCCCCTCCACTGAGTGACACTGTTGTCTCTGCTGCTCCTGAGTGCCTCCTAGTGTCTGGAGAGCTCCCTGTGATACTGACGTCCCTTGTGCTTCTGAACACTTCTGAGGGACACTGATATCTATCTCCTTGTGTCCCTGAGCACCCCTGGTGCCCTAAGCGCCCCCTTGAGTCCAGCCCTCCTGTCTCCCTCAGGGAGGTTTGTGTATGGGCTCACACTGACTTCCCAGCTGACTTCATGTCTAGCCCCACCCTCTGCCACACCCTGTCACTGTTACCTAGTCCCCTCAGTGGACCATCCCTGGGTAGAGTTTCTGTCACTATCTCCTTGGTAGCAAGTGGCCTTGGCAGATGATTGGGACCTGGCTTCTGTGAAGATCCTCCCTTTCTCCATTCCCACTGACAGTTGTCCCTGAGTGGAGACATGAGGTGGGCACAGGGTTCAGTCACCCTGAGGATGCCCCTCTTGCTCCTTGGGCTCTGGGTGGTGCTGGCTCCAGCACAGGATTCTCAAGGCCGTCCCTCATGGCGCTACATCTCCTCCGAGGTGGTGATTCCAAGGAAGGAGCTTCACCTTGGCAAAGGTGTTCAGGCACCAGGTTGGCTCTCCTACAGCCTGAGATTTGGGGGCCAGAGACATGTCATCCACATGCGGCGCAAGAAACTCTTTTGGCCCCGACATCTGGTGCTGATGACTCAGGATGACCAGGGAACCTTGCAGGTAGATTACCCCTTTGTGCCTCTTGACTGTTACTACTTCGGCTACCTGGAGGAGGTTCCTTTCTCTACAGTCACCATGGACACGTGCTACGGGGGCCTGACAGGTATGATGAAGTTGGATGACCTTGCCTATGAAATCCAACCCCTCAAGGATTCCCCAAGCTTTGAACACATAGTTTCTCAGATAGTGGCAGACTCCAGTGCCACTGGACCCATGTATACACTGGGGTACAAAGAAGAGAGGCATCCCCTGTTCTCTCAAGTGAATAGCAGTGCAGCCTCCAGGCTCAGCAGTAAGGCATATGCAAGCCACCAAGGATTTTTCAAAGGATGTCTTATAAGTGCCAATTCAGTTTATAGGCAATACAACAATGTGTCAACATGTGTCAAATTCCTGGTAAATCTAGGTAGTTTAATGAACTCTATGCTCCAAAATGTTGATTTAAGGTACTACATCAGCTCCCTAGTCATTTATAACCAGAGAGATCCCACCTCCATGAGCAGCTATAATATACCAGGGAATGCGTTTCATTCCCATTATATAAGCAACATTTATCTTCCTCTTCGTCCACAAACAAGCTTAGTTGTGATTCAAGATGGGCCCCATGACAATAGTTTTACACCAGTCTTATATGGTGTCTGCAAAGAAACTAATCTCCTCATGCTGGGTGTTTTTTCAAGACATTATTTTATGTTATCAATTATAGCCACCCAATTAACTGCAAGAAGTTTTGGTTTATTTTATGATGAGCCCACATGTGTTTGCCAGAGAAGGACCACCTGCATCATGGACAGGATCCCTCTGATTACAGATGCCTTCAGTAACTGTTCCATGTTGCATGCAACACATGTAGTTAATTATCACAGGGTACACTGTACCTACAGCACTGACTTTGAGTATTTCAACAGTAGCCTGACATTACCTATGTGTGGAAACTCTGTGGTGGATGATGGAGAGGAGTGTGACTGTGGCTCCTTCCATCAGTGTTACAGAAACACCTGCTGCCAAAGTGACTGCACCTTTAGACCTGGAAGTGCTTGTAACACAGGCATGTGTTGCACAAACTGCAGTTTCTCACCCCCAGGGACACTCTGCAGGCCAATCCAGAACATATGTGACCTTCCAGAGTACTGCCTTGGGCTGACCTCCACATGCCCTGAAGATGTGTATCTGCAAGATGGAACCCCATGTAGTGAAGTCAGCTACTGCTATCATGGAAATTGTACTGACCGCAGTGTACACTGCAAGGAGATCTTTGGTGAAGGTGCAGTGAATGCTCCAGATGCCTGCTACACCATAAATAAAAGAGGACACCGATTTGGACATTGTACATCTCATGTTTACCACACCTTAGAGGGTTGTGCTGACGCTGACATTAAATGTGGACGCCTACAGTGTACCAATGTCACACATCTGCCTAGGTTGCAAGACCACGTTGGATTCCATCAGTCTGTGATACAGGGGTCCTTGTGTTTTGGAGTGGATTTACACATTGGGACATACACAACTGATGTTGGTCATGTGAGACCTGGTACCCCCTGTGGTGGTGGGTATTACTGTAACAACAGTGTATGCAATGCTTCTGTTGCTGACATGAACTATGACTGCGAACCTTACAAATGCAACTACAGGGGAGTTTGCAACAGTAAAAGGAACTGCCACTGCCATATAGGCTGGGACCCTCCTCGGTGCATAGACAAAGGTGCTGGAGGGAGTCTCGACAGTGGACCCCCTCCAAGAAGAATGCGGTCAGTGAGGCAAAGTGATATGTCTGTGGTGTACTTTAGGGTGGTCTTTGGGCGCATGTATGCCTTCATAGCTGCCCTCCTTTTTGGAGTGGCCACCAATGTGAAAATAATCAAGACCACTTCCACTCAAGAAACTGCCATATGATGGAAACTAAGCAGCTTTCTGACCCCTATGCAACTACAGGCAATAGAGCAGAAACTTCTGTAAAAAATCACCACAACCAGCTGTGGAGCTAATGTCCACATTTCTCATTCTGCACAGGGGTCCTACTGTACTTCACAGGAAAGTGAGAGGAGTGGGCATTTTCCACCAGTCCTCCAAAATAAACCTTGAAAACCACATGATGTTGTCTGTACAGATTTTGTGAGCCTTTCAGACCCTCCCTGGGCCCGAAACTCAGGTCTAGAGAGGAGACCTGCTCAGCAGCTGCCCTGAACCTGTGGCCACTGGTCCCAGGATGAGAGACAATTGCCACAGATCCCTTCAGGGCCACTTCCTGATAGGTCACTGCAGTCCTGCTCCTCAGGACTGAGGCCATAGTCAGTCTGTAGGGAGCCTCTCCATCTCTAGCAATTCAGCTTCAAGATGATAGTGTGCTCCTCCCAACAAATGGCATGTTCCCCCTTGGCCTGTCTGTGGGTGCTGGGGTGAGGGTGTGGATCACTGATTGCCTAGTGACACCAGTGCCACAATAGAGAGTACACATCCCTGTGCTGAGGCCACAATCCTTTGGGAACATTCAGCCCAAAAGGAAGTAGCGTGGCTGTCAGTGCATCCGACCCTCCAAGAGAGCCCATACGGGTCATGCCCCTACTCCACTCCTGCACTTTTAGGAGAAGGGCAGAGCATGTGCAGGATGAGCCACGTAAGTGCCAGACACCATCTTCAAAACAGGCCTGGAGGACTGTGAAGCCAGTCTCCCTTGGTATCTAAAGAATTTCCAACAAAATAGTATTTTACAATGTGATGTAAAGTTAGTAAAAATATCTTCATTAACATTCAAAATTACATATGTCCTCTATGCAACACAGGCACATCCTATGGAATTAAGAGCCTAAAGTTCCCACAAATGTAAAGACCAGGGGAGTCCATGATAGACAGACACATTCAGGGGCTTTAGGGGGTGAAATTGAGACTCACAACTGTGCACGTGATTTAAATTTCCCATATGTCACCAACCATGTGGGGGTAATGGGCAATCAATGGACAACAAGACAGTAGCATGCAGCAGAGAGGATACAAACTTGAGGGGTGGAGGTCCTGGGGGATGATCACAACCCTAGTGGGGCAAGGTGTGACTCTCAGGAGGAAGGAACCTGTGAGGACATTGTGTGCATGTTCGGAGAATGGAGCCTGAGCTCAGCACACAGGGATCTGGACAGAGCTGGATCTCTCTTTGTGGGAAACACTTCCAACCATGGGGAAGATGAGAGCTCTCAAGGTGGTTCCTTGCCCAGGGAGAAAAAGGACAACCGGGGATGTGGTGCAAGGAACAAATGTCCCTGGATGCAGCTGAGAGCTTTGAGATGAAAACCCTGCTCCCTGCACCAGACCCTCTCCTGCCCCTGTGGCTAGTCTTTGTGCTCTGAGTTTCTGAGAGCCCCCTGGTATCCTGAGTACATCCTACAGCCACTCCATCCTGTGCCCCTCAGCGAGATTAGTGTCTGGGCTCACATTGACTCTCTGTCACAGTGACTCTCTCACAGTACTACACAGCCATATCCTTGGCTCTCAGGCTGATTATTTGCTGGATCAGTGTGTTCTTGCCATTGTCTCTGGAGATGGTGAATCCGCATTTCACAGAGTTGGAATAGCATGTGATATTTCCATCAGTATTCATTGTAGAAACCCACTCCAGCCCCTTCCCTGGAGCACGGTGGACCCAGCTCTTAAAGAGACTACTGAAGATGAATCCTGAGGCCACACCTGAGTTTCAGAGAACCTTCAGGCTGCCTCAAGCCTTCCTTAGACTCTACCAGGTTCACCTCACACTGGACACCTGCAACCACAGATATCTTGTGAAGAAACTGGCACCCATCTGTTTTTCCTCTCAGCCATATCCACTCATATAATCAGTGTTTCTTATTCTCCATAAACTATGTCTTAAAATAGCAACAAGGAAAACCCAGCTGAGCTCAAAGTCCATGGTGAGTTGTTTGTGTTCTGTCCTGACCAGGGACTGGCAACTGCTGGAAATATTGGGCTAGGCTACACTCCCAGAGCTGCTAGGGTTGGAGTTGGGCTTCTTTGCACAAACAGAGGGTCCCTGTTAGGAACTTCCCTGCCTGGTTACAGAAGTTGTAACCTCCCATGGCTAAGGCTGCGTAAAAAGCCCTTAGGGATATATATGCCACAAAGTAGACACACATGTATGCCCTCTCTCATATCCTTCTGCTCAGTCTGGGTTGGTGACTACTTAGCCAATGATGGGTAAGATTCCTCAAGGGAGGAAGAATCTAAGACAGGCATAGTTGCAAAGGGCCCATCAGGGAAGGACTTAGGGGACTATAGAGAAGGGATGATGGGCCTCCACACCTCAGCTTTGTTATAGCCAGAGTCCTCTTTCCACTACTCAAAGTCTCCTGGGGTCCCAGCTACTTTTTTCCCTGGCCTGACTCAAGCCTGAAAAAATGCCAGATAAAGAGGGCACAGCTCTATACTATTACAGGTGGCTCCCAGGGACAATCAGGCCTGAAAAAGAATGCATGAAGCCCTGTGAGTCTTGCCTTGCTAAGAATACCCTCAGGTTAATGTATGCTAGCTGTTTAGGCCTCAAGCAGAAAATGAGTATCTTTCCCAAAATTTTGTGGCCTTTTGTGTCACTCTATCTGTCTGACCCTGCCTCAAAATAAGGCCTTTGGGTTCTTTGAATATTATCTACTCCTTTATCATTACTGCCTGACAATCATTGATATGCTTTACATATACACACTGTATTCCTATGCAAACTAAACCCAATAAAAGCCCAGAGAAAGAGGTGCTGGAGGCCATTCTCCTCTAATCAACTGGCCATCCTTTTGTCCCCTAGCAGATCATGTCTTGATAGATTTATTCTCATCTGCAGTGGCCTGGAGAGCTGTGTGGCTTGGAGTTCACCCATAGGTCTGTATTTTCATGTCTTTCCATTATACAGGGCAACAAACTCCACTCTTTTTGGCTCAAGGGACCAGTTTACAGAAGATCACTTTTTGCATGTGGTGGGAGGGAGAGAGGAGTCAGAGCTCAGGCAGTAATGCAAGTAACACCCACAGACAGGGAGGAGGGAGGTTGGGAACCCATGATATAGGCAGCTCTGTGGTTGAGACCTGCAGAAAGTTCTGTGCCTCTGTGCAGGTGAGTGATCTGGGGAAGGTGGTCATGATAGCATTTCAATAATGAAACACAGAATCCTGAGCAGGCATTGGGCATGTCCAGCACACAGCTTCTCATAACAGTGGGCTGGTGCCCTCTCCACTAGCGCTACTGCTCCCGTGAAACTAATCCAGGGAAGAGTGGGACATGCTGCATGGGGTTATAGGGCCCCTTGGCTATAATGGGCATGGTTGTGTGTCTGTATCTAGTTTTGTCTACACTCCAGGGTTGGAGACAAGTGCACACCTGGGACAGAGATCACAGGCTCCAACTTGTAGGTAAGGAGCCATACATGCTCAAGGAGCCATACATGCCTTGGCTCTAAGTATCCAGACATTTAAGAACACAGAGCAGATAGAGTGGTGAGAAGATGCATTTTTATCACTGGACTCAGGGAGAGACCCTGAGAAGCTATAGAGTCATCCAGCTTATCAAGAGGCTGTGTGTTTCCAAAAACAAGATGAAGTGATTGGCAGAGGGTCTCTTTGTAAAGACAGTAATGACACAATTATAGAATTTTGGCGGTGGTCATCTGAAGTATGCTTGGTACCTGTGGATTCTAGACAGTAATGTGACATCATAATGTTTGATTAATTTAGATATCCTGGGGCCCAAATATTCCCCACGGTTATCTGGGTGGGTCCTAATCTCTTCACTTTAGAAGGGTTCATTTTAGAAGGAAGAAGAGTGAGATTAGAATCCAAGACAAGAAGGAAGTGATGTGAAGGCTGATGTCAGGTGACCTGTTCCAGTCTGTGGAGAAGCAGGAAGAGGTCATAGGAAAAGGAATGCAGTTCTAGAATCTGGAAAAGACAATCAGAAGCCCAAATGTGAGACATTTCTTGCTGCAATAAGTTTGAGCCATGGACAGGGAAGATGATAAACAGCAAATGTTTTTGTCTCACAGGCCTGGAGGATGGATGTTCACAGTCAAGGTGCCAGTGAAGCAGGGAATAAAAGCTTTATACTACTCTGACATAGCATAAAATGGAATTAGAATAAGTTGTACTGAACAACACTGATAAAAGTAATTCACATACTGGCAGGTTATTTCTGTGTGTGTGTGTGTGTGTGTGTGTGTGTGTGTGTGTGTGTGTGACTATATTGCAAGCACCATCGATTCCAGACTGCTGTACAGGAAATGGCCTTGACCATGATTTTGAGTGATGCAGATCTCCCAGCTGCAAGAATTTGGCTGGCACTGACCTTGTCCCCCTCCAGGATGCTGACAATAAAGATCCATATCAGGACCAGCAAGGACACTGCCTGCACATCCACAGCCTCTCTGCTTGACCTCTTTGTTCTCTTTTCTCCAACCATTCTGCCTGCAGTGGGTTTTTAAGAAGTTTAAGAGGAGTATCTCTCATCTTCCAGGCTCCTGGTACCTATAACAAACCACTTTCCTTTAGAACAACTGCCTCTCGATTATAGGCTTTCAAAGCAGTGCACAAGTGGACCTGCACTTTTTATAACTTTTGGAAAACTAGATTGAAGAAAGTGAACACCCATAAGGTCCCAGCTGCTTGTGACAGGCTGGCCCCATGGCATGGATTGCAGGAATTTCCCAGCAGCTGCCAAGAGTTTTCAGGGTCTCTCTCTGCTTTCCATATCAAGGTATCCCCTGCCTTTAAATCCTTTGCTGAGGGAAAGAAACAGGTCTCTCGGAAGTTGACAGACTCCAAACTGGGTAAAGTCTTTGTTGTGAACAATCAGGAGCCCCAAGGCCCACCATGTGTGTTCACTGAACTGTCTGGAGTTCAATAGGAATCCATAGGAACTGAAGGTGGTAGACA